TCACCTCGATGATCGAATGCAATGCGATGAAGTACTTAATGAAATATTCACTTAATGAGTTCATCATATATTTCGGAATAGGGTGTCGAGTTTATAGCGTAATCTAGTTTTCGCCTAACTTCAGCTGAACGCATGGAAATGTCTCAGATTCAACTGGATGATACCTTTAAAAGCATATGCAGATCCGTTTCCAATGATAGTGATAGCGTCAATGGTAGCATCAGCGCAAATATCCGGTTCATCCTCATCATCCTCTACGTCAACTTCGTTTTCGAACTTCCGATCGTTTGTGCCATACAAATGGATCAACGCTTTGATATCATCTCTGAAATCAAATCGAATGATGCGTTGCGATGCGCATTTTGGTATGTAATAATGATAAAAAGAGTAATAATAATAATACCAACAATAATAAAAACAGTAACAATAATAACTGACCAAAATAATGTGCAGAAAGTCCGGAAGAACCGTTGGATGTCTCGGCGTTAGAACGCCATCATCAGCTACAATCTCTATTCCAACATTGTAGCTGATGATGGCGTTCTAATGCCGAAACGTCCTACGGTTCTTCCGTACTTTCCGCGCATTATTTCGGTCAATTATTATTATTATTATTATTATTATTATTATTATTATTATTATTATTATTATTATTATTATTATTATNGACGTTTCGGCGCTAGAACGCCATCATCAGCTACAATCTCTATTCCAACATTGTAGCTGATGATGGCGTTCTAATGCCGAAACGTCCCAAGGTTCTTCCGTACTTTCCGCGCATTATTTCGGTCAGTTATCATTATTATTGTTATTATTATTATTATTATTATTATTATTATTGGTATTATTATGATTACTCTTACTATCATTATTACTAATCATATGATGTTCAATAATTCATTACGATTGAATTTTGCATAGGCATAGAAGTGACATTCAAATTTCAATTCTTAAAAAGGCGAATGAAACGTGGAAATTTTTTGCTCAAGCATAGTCAGATAAATTCAAATCCGTTGATAATATTATCAGAATAGGTCAGTGCTGCGATTCGAAGAGAAGCATTTTTCAAAAATATTTTCGGCAGAAAAAATCAAATGTAAATAATGCAAAATGAGCTAGCATGAACTCATTTGCAGTATTCACCTGTGCAAATGTAAGGAATTGCCAGTGTATGTCTGATAGAACGGGGCCATGATGGCATCGTGATTCTGTGAATGTTTCAGCCCGAGTGAATGACCAATCNAGCCCGAGTGAATGACCAATCTCATGCACTGCTACTGCGTACAAGTCTATTCCATGACCTGAAAATGTGCGCGAATGAAATCCTTTCTAAAAACTGTTCAACTTCATTATTTCACGAATAACTCATTGCGGTTGTCAGTTCAAAAATCAATGAAAAGATGACGTCGTTTCTTAAGAAATTGATGAAACGAAAGTTTAGCATTCAGATAGCATTGGTTTCCCTGAGTAAAAGTTGGTTTTAAGCATTTCAGAGTTGATCATTCAATTAAGCGTGAAATTATAGAGCATCATTACGACCATCTACAAATAAATCGTCGACATTGCAGCAACAGTGCAGACAGATCAAGTTTCGAATGCGAAAGGAAATCTTACGAACCGATTCTCTTATTCGGACTCCATAATTCCTCCTCATCAAAATGCACATCACCACCAAATCTCGGAAAGAATGCGTGCGCTAGAATTTGACCTGAAATACTGCACATGAATATTATCAACACAGGCGTACGTTTGCAATCGCTCATGATCAGTTGCAATGTGATGAACGAATAGACTGCTAACAATAAGAGCCATTTCAACTCGATTTTGAAAGTCGCTCGTCAGACAACTCTGTGGTCATTTGGGAATGTTAGTTGAATGTGTCTAAAAGCAAACCTTTGCCATCGAACGGTTCACCATCGCCGTGAGCACGGCGTGCGAACAGCAGCTCGATGTGCACGTGTCCCCGAGATTTGTATTGAAATCTCAGCGGCGAGAACTCTTCCCATACCTGAATGAATTCACTGAATGCTCATAATCTCTTGTTTTGAGCGTCCTCTAACGAAGATTCCTATCAAATTCTTCAGTAGAATCTAACATGAATCCTAAATCATAGACATAGTTTCGTAAATCAAATGCGTAATTTTAGCACCGCATTCATCCTTTTCTGAGCACTAAATGTCCAAATGAGTGTTCAATCGATCAATCGGAATGTATTTTTGGGCCCCTTCTGAGTCCCTCTCCCTAGAAGCCATTGGGCAGTGTGAAAGAG